AATGAGCAACAATATATAAGTGCAAATGACAAGTCTCGGTTAGCCTAACGCAGTACACGTAGCAAGGTGTGTGTGTGTATATATATATATATATATATATATATACACAAACAAAGAAAAACAAGTAGAATAGAAAGCTAGAGTTTTTTTTAAAAAGTGCGATTTAAAAAAAAAAAAAAAAAAAAAAAAATGTGTAAAAGGCAAAGATGCCTGTTAAAACCTTACCTAACAGCTCAACTATAAATATACTTCTTATTTATTTGATAATAAATACAGTTGTACTGTTATCGCTTCCTGAGTAGAAACACAGGTCCGTACCAGAGAGGCGCAACTCCATTCCTGGATGGCCACTGTTCTGAACAGTTCAGCTACACTGCTAAGGCAGGTGTGTTTCATTAGTGATGGAGCTAAACAGAAGACAGAAGCTGCCTGTCGCTGGTCTACATAGTGCACGTGACACTGTGTTTACGCTGTGAGTGATGCATTCTAATACGTCAAAACTAGATCACTTTCATTGCAGTTAACAAAGGTGAGATATAGAGGTTGCACGCAAAAACATATACACAGCACAAAATACCACTTCAAATTGGACAGAGAGATAAAGCAGGAGGCTTGACTTGGGCTCTAATTTACCCCATTAGCTCTAAATGACCAAATTACCCCATAATATTAATAAAGATTATCTAATGCACAGCACAGTGCACATTGCACATACATAATACTATATAATGCATTCAGAAAGTATTCAGACCCCTCCATTCTTACCACAGTTTATGTTGCAGAGATGTTAAAATGCTTTAAATTATTATTCTTATTATTTTTATTTATTTTATTTTTTATGCACTACATTCCCCATAAAGACAAATCAAAAGCAAGATCTGTGATAACTGCAAATAAATTAAAAGAAAATAAATAAAAAATTATATATATATATATATATATCAGGGTATCTCAGTGGCTAGCACAGTTGCCTCAAAGCAAGAGGATCCCCAGTACTGAAAAACCAGTACTCTTTCTTGACCTGGCAACTGGACAAAACTGATGGTCACTCTGGTTGAGTTTCAGGTGACCATGTGTAGAGATGGGAGAAACTTCCAGAATGTCAAATGTCACTGCAGCACTCCAATGATTTAGGCTTTATGGCAGCTCGAAGAAAGAAAAAAAAAAGTGTAATATTATGAGCTAAAAACTTCAATACTCCAATTTTAATTCCATGCCATTTTTAAAAAGATAATGAAATGAAAGAGGAAAACAGAGGCATTCAAGCGTTGTTTCTTGGGTTTTTCCTGGCCGGATAGTGTTCTTTCAGTTGTCTAATTGATTTGAGTCATGCTATGGTTGGCCATGACCCCAGTTACTCCTCCTTCACCCACATTATCTTTGATGATGTGAGGAGCAAACTTACAGCTCTATTTACTGCTTCATTCTCTTTATCTGTTTATTTTGATAGCTTTTGAGGCAGACAACAGAAAGTTGAGGCACATATCTCACTCCAGCTTCCCCCTTCCTCAGACAGTGTTCAAATAAAACCTACACCACTGATTGACAGAATATTCACCATCAGGGTGAACACGGGTCAACGGACCATACATGAAATGAAAGAGACACAGAAAGACTCTAAAACATTCAAACCCACCCACTCCCCCTTTAATGTTAAGGTACTGATGGTACCACTCTAATTGTCCATGCTCTAATTCAATCTCACCCCAATTTCAGATATCTAAAGAAGAGTGGCTTTGGCAGAAAGCCTCCTCACTTTCCAGGGCCGGCCAGGCAATCAGCCGTGGTAATGGTTATTTAACATCCAATTTAAATTCTATCAATGAGATGTTATTAAGGGCAGACTCACTTTCCTGCTTTTACACAGCTGATGCTAATCGCCTCTCTCCCAATGTGTGTGTGTGTGTGTGTGTGAGAGAGAGATCTTCTCAGGCCAGTGCTCAAGGCTATACAATGAAAAATTGAGGGCTCGCATCAACCCAGAAAACAACCGGCAGAGAGGTTTGTGCCACTGAATGACAGTATGCAGGTTACATATATATATATATATATATATATATATATATATATACACACACACACACTGGGGACCTGGATACCAAAAAAGTTATAATTATACTGTAATTATTTAACCTTGTGGCCGTTAAACTGGATTAATTGTCTTGGCTTTTAGCAAAATTGCTTGAAGTGCAAGGTCTATAATGAGCCTCCACTTGCCTAAAAACATCTACAGTATATTTCATTCGGTGCTTCAACTTGCTTTTACTTCACACATTCATAACAGTGTTTGAGAACAGCTTGAACATAAATTGTTTTTATTTAAGTTTTTAGTGTACCAGTCCGAGCTTAGTAAGGGCA